TTTATCCAAAAATGTAGTAGTGAACAAAATACAGGGATCAGGCTTGTAATTATACCTTTTGTAATTATGTGAGGTTTTAAAAGCCAAAAAAAATCAGAATGTAAGCCCCACGTTTTGTAAGTTGAAAAAAAGAAAATAAAATTGTCTCTCTCTCATTTAAAAGCTGTCGAGACGTTTCTCTGCCCGGCGACGGAGAGTGCAAATAGTACACCCCAGACGGTGTAACTAGTCTCGAAAAAGTAAGTGTTTATCTTCCATGAATTAGATGAAACACCAAATTGTAGACTCGCCACCAATCTTTTTATATGGTGGATTGGTCACCAAAATGTCATATTATTTTAAAAAATCATTCCTAAGAATATTATTAAAATAATACAACTCGGGTCTGCTTTACCAGAAAAATGAGTTTGGGAGTCGGTTACGTATGAGGAAGGATTAGCACCCTAAAACGCCCAAAATTAGTACCGATATTTATTAATTAAATGTCTTTGCAGTAAATGATAAAATTGTTTTTAATTTAATTTACAAATAATAAAAAATAGATATATTATTTCATACCAATAATCATTTTAAAATACCTTCTTAATTAATTAAGAAAATATTTAATGATCTATTGTATGAAATAATACAACTTAAATACATATATAAAATAATGATTAATATAAGAATCAAAATTATATGTTATTATATGCAAATTATCTCATACTTTATATTAAAAATATAAATATAATAATAATATAAAAAATTAAAAGATATTAAAATAGGGTGACTAAATTATAAAATAATAAAACTATAATCTCTAATTCAAAATATTATAATTGTAATTACTAATAATAATTTAACCATAAATAATAATTAGGATTAAAATATAAATAATTTAAAATTATAGTGACTAAATACATAATTTTACCCTAAATATATAAACATACAAATAGAGACTAAAATAAAAATAAAACCAAATATGAATGCCAAATTGAAATGCGTAAAAACATGATTGAGTGACCAAATTGGAAAGCAAACAACATTGCAAGGACTACGGGTATGAATTACCCCTGTTAAAATTACACTTAACCCTCTCCCAAAACGACGTAGTTTTGGGGAGGGTATTTAAAAACCCTAACCAGCCATTTATGGCCATTTCTCCCCATTTCTCTCATTTAGCTTCTCTCTCTAGGATTCCCTCACAAGAGGGAATCTGTCCACCAGCCGGCCACCATGCACCTCCGATCGCCGCCATCAGCCACCGTGTACGGTGGCCGAAAAATATAAAATTACACCAAAATAAACCCCTTCTTCCCCTAAACACAAATATACCCTTATTTTGTTCTAAAAGCCCACCAAACTTCCTAGATCTAGGAATATACCTTCGGCAGTCGAGGATTTCTGATGACGCGTAGGGGCTCTAACAGTCGAGGTAAGCTTCTCAATGTACTTTTGGTTGATTAATTCTCTCTTGGCTACCGTTTGCTTACTGTTGTGGCTTCGTATAGCTCTCTGTCTGTCCCCATTTTACTTTCGTTCTTTCCCTTTCTTTGTTGTTCGTAGTTCTTGCTGTATTGGGTTCCTCTTTCTTGCTCTCTGTCTTGGTTGTTTGCAGGAACGAGGCTATTTATAGCCCTCGTCGGACCACCCTTCGGACTGATTAAAGAGGAGTACCCCCGTGAGTCACCAAGGCTATGGCGGTGACTCACCTAGGGGTGGTGAGGTGCACGACTGATATTTACCTTCTAGATCCTTCCGTTGGAGGCGGTGGCGGCGTGGCAGCAGATGATTGGAGGCGTTGGAGGCATTGGAGGCGAAATCATAGCCCTAGGGTTATGACACCCTAGGGTTTCATCTACATGAACTATGGGTCGTTGGATCTGGAGAGATCCAACGGTTGTGAGAGATGGCGGCTGAAGTTGATGAGTGGAAACCCTAGCTGCTGATTCTAGATTGGGCCTCTGGATCGGGTCAGGATGTATTGGGCTTCTCGGGTCGGATCTTCTCGGGTTCGGGCCTTCTCGGATTTGGTTGTATTCCCGGGTCTGGATCACTCTGGACCTGGATCTGCTTGTAATTTGGGCCTTCAAATTGGGCTTAATAATAATAATAGTAGTATAATATACAATTATATATAATAATAATATAATAATAATAATAAGAACAGGAAAAAAACTAGTGTCGACAAAAGCTATGGTTTTTTTTTCTTTTCTTGCTTGTTTTGGTTATAGTTAGGTGTTTGGGGGGTGATTTTGGTATTGGGTTTGGAACCCAACCACTGGAGTTGGTGATTGGGGAGTGAGGCTGACGGTTAGAGTGTGGTGGTCTCTAGCACGGTGGTCGAAGTGAGAAACACCTCCTGGGTGCGGTGGCCTGATGTATACGTGAAGCTTTGGTAGCTTTTGAGTCGGTTAAAAAATGGGGTGAAGTCGTTCGTTCAGTTGTCATTCGGTAACGATCGAGGTCGTTAGTTATAGTAGGATGCTCACCGGCCCGGTGGCCGGCTTGTGGTGCCCGGCGTTCGATTTAGTGCCCTAAAAAGGGGTTGTTCGTGTGTGAAGAGAATAAAGGGGGAAGTGTTTATTTTATTTTTTGCATAAATTACCCATAGGTCCCCGAGTTTTAAGATTTCTTTTGCGTTTTGGTCACCTATTCAGTGGGTAAATCACCCAAAGGTCCTCAGTTTTAACGCCACTTCACACTTTGGTCACTGTTGGGAAAATTACCTTTAAACCCCCTTCATTTTAGCCTTTTTTGTACTATGGTAATTTATTTCTTATTTATTTTGAATATGCATGCATATTTTACTAACTTTTAATTTGGTCACTATTCTGCTATATAATTTATTGCATATTAACCACTAACTTTTATGTTATTGCATATTATCCACTAAATTTTATTTTATTGCACTCTAACCATTGTTTATTTATTTATTTATTTATTGTTTCTATTATTCGATTCGACCTTGTGGTGACCAGATCCGGGGTATGATCCACATTATTATGGTTCAAACTCTGCTAACTACTGACTTTCATTTTATTGAACTCTAACCTTTTTTTGTCTATTTATTTATTTATTGTTTCTATTATTCGATTCGACCTTGTGGTGACCAGATTCGGGGTATGATCCACATTATTATGGTTCGGACTCTGCTAACCACTAACTTTTTTATATTTATTTTATTTTATTTTATTTGTATACATTTGTTTGAATTGTTCGATTCGACCTTGTGGTTACCTGATTCGGGGTATGACCCGCATTATTATGGTTCGGACTCTGCTAACCACTAACTTTTTTATATTTATTTTATTTTATTTTATTTGTATATATTTGTTTGAATTGTTCGATTCGACCTTGTGGTTACATGATTCGGGGTATGACCCGCATTATTATGGTCCAGACTCTGCTAATCGCTAACATTTCTAATCGCTAATTACTAATTGCTAACATTTTATTTATTTGTTTGTTTTGTTTATGTTCGAACCATGAACGACCTTGCAAAGATCCGTCCCGGGATATGACTCACATTATTTACGCTACGGGATAAATAATAAAATTCGATATTAACATTTTATTTCCATTATTTAACTTTATATACTTTTAAATTTATTTCTTTTTATTTTATTTATTTAATTTCAGTCTTTACGTTTTACTTTAATATTTTAATAGTTTATTTTTATCTCTTTATTTTGCAGTATTTTAATTTTATTCGTTTAATTATTGTGTTTTATTATCTGTTTATTTTACTTCTATAATTTAATTTTTGCATAGCTAGATTTTGTTTCCTTACATTTTACCATGTATGGATGTTATATATTTGTTCGTATTATTTATGTATGTATATATTCTTGGCTCTTGGGAATTGGTTTCGAATGATTGTACAAAATGTTTGTTTCATTCATTTTTAACGTTTTTATACTCTAATATTTTCAAGAATACTTATTTGTAGAATAGGCGTGGAAAGCATTGCTTGGTCGAAGTTGTGCGATCCGATACGACATTCGAACGAAATGTGAAAATCGAATTTATTTTACTAATTAATTCATTTTTTATTTTAAGATAAAAAATGCAATGCACGTTTCTAAATATCAATTTATTTTATTTTATGCAAATGTCTATTTTCAATTTATATTCAAGTTGCGTTTTTTATAATATTGGCGGGAAATATTTATTGTATAAAGGAGAAATAGACGAGATAACCTTCTCATTGTTGGAGGATGTGCAAATCTCGTGATTTCTTCTCAAATTAAGGAATATTCCTTAATAAATAATTTGAAACAAATTAATTAATTTTAATAAATGAATCATATTTTAACTTTATATTCGATTTATATTTTCCACCATTACGACAACGTGTAACAGATTAAGTAGCAATTTTTGAGCATTGTGAGAGTGTTTATCCTTCCCCACGAGTAATCGACTCCCGGACCCATTAAAATGAATCTTTGATAACGCATACCAATTTGTCTTAAAAAATGATTTTTTTTCTTAAAATTATTTTAAAAGACATTTTTAGGTATTCGACATACCTAGCTCAAAGGTCGATGAAGATTCCTATTCAATTCAATCCAATTCAAATTAATTCAAAATCATTAATTTTTTAAAATAAAAGTCATAATTATTTTTTAAAATAATATTTAATTATTTTTTTTTAAAAATGGTTATAACAATTACGCCTTCTTCTGTTTTAAAGGAAAACTAGACACAAGCGTTTACACCCACTAAAACTAGGTATCCTCAAGTGCCAATTATATAAAATTCTCTATTAACTAAAATAATGTTAAAAATTAGAGAAACGGGTTAACCCTAAGAATATATTTTTTTTAACAATCTACGATGATTACAAGATAGTTTATGTTAAGAATTTTTCTTAAGCTATTAATAACATAGACAAACCCTGCAACCGCAGGTGCTTGAATCTGGATCTTCTGAGAAAACAATATTCGTCTTTACCACTAAGGCCGCTCAATCAGTTCATAAAACTTATATTTAAATTCCAGACATGTAAAATGTGACTAACACTCGAATCAAATGGAAGAGTTTTTATTGTTTGAATAAAGGTCCGAACAAAATGGTACAATAATCCAAATAGCTATATAGCAAAACTAAAATCATTAAAGTCCAAAGGTTCCTTAAAACTGATGGAAACATAGAATCATGATGATGTTAATAGCATGAGTATATGGTCATGAAACTATAGTTTTCGGATTAAAGACAATGCTAAAAATGCATTATCATAGCTTCCCCGAAATAACATTTACCGTGATCTGCCTTTACGGCGGTTTTTCATTCCTGCACAATCCGAACAATACCATTTCCCTCTCGGCTGTTCTCTCAGACCCACACAACCGAAGTGAAACCATTCTATCTTGCACTGATAAAATGAGCAAAGAGTTTCATCAGACCAATAGGAGTGCTAACGACAATAGTCTCCAAGCGAGATACATAAAGAAGTTAGTTACTTACATTAGGGTTATCGCATGCCACCATCTCTCCATAGCTAACTTGGTTGCACATACAGTAAGTGGGTTCATTAGGATCCACTGGCAAGTCTAACTCCATGCCAATTGGGTTTTCTGCTGCTGCTGCCACTTCTGTTGCGGCAGCTGCTGCCCGGCGTGTTCTACAAAATTACGTGGCTCCAATGCTATCATGTATTTAATTAGTGAAATTTTGTATGCATATAATTGAAGGAATTCAAGGATCTTTTCTCAGTTCAATCATTCCAAACTCAAAATTCGATTTTTTAAGAAAAATTCATTCCTCTTGATTCTGGAGTCTCTTTCACACTGGTATAACAATTTTTTGAAAAGGCCACAAAATTAGATAAATATACTAATTGGATGACAATTGAATAGCCTATAAGGAAAACATAAATGAGGTTTATATAAGATAGAAGCATACTTTTTACGACCTCCTCTTCCACTTTGACTAGGCCTTCCAGATTTAGTTGTACCATCAGGACTTGGAGCAGGTGCTGCAGTAGCTGCTACATTCTCTCTTTCTGTTGAAAAACATATTAAGAGTACGGATTAAAATTATGACAGGGAGAAGGGCTTGAAGGAAAACTTAAGATGATAGTTGTGGAAGTGGAAAAATCATATCTTACCGCGACGTAGCTCTTCATCGGACATTTTCAAATATTGATCAAGTTGTTGTATATGTGAATCTACCTGAAGATATTATATGTAATAAACAGATTATGTGATAAGAAAGCAAAAATAATTCCATCCAGCCCTGAAATCTTAATCTGTTTCGTTTAAAGTTAATATCAATAAACAAAACCAATCAACTTTGATCAGTTTCCAACATAGGAATGATACAAATATTTTATTCATATGAAAGAAATGATTAACCATGTTATTGATATGACTTTGCATTTATAACTCTTAGGCAAATGGTCCATGTAACAGAGTAAGATTTTTGAGGTTTTAACATAAAAAGCACGTATCCATGTAAAAACTATTTTGCTCCAACTCTTCATATTTTAAGCACTCATGTTCGATACCCTGCAATGACCCTCCAAATACATGAAAAATTTCTATAACAATTGAGATTACCGTCTTGAAACTCACATATGAGTCTGAGTAACATAGTTTAAGAGATTATAGTAGCACCCTCTTTCTTCGAGGTAGCCAATGCTAAAGTAATTTAAGGCACTTTCTACATTAAAATACTGCCTTAGAATAGCATCAACTCCAACCAAGCTTATTTTTAAAAGGCGAAAGGAACACTGAGGCACAAAAGGACTCTAGAGCCTAGGCTCAAGGTGCAGTGCGAAGGAGCGCGCTTTTTGTAGGCAAGGTGCAGAGATTTCCTAATATTCATTTTACCTCTCACGACTGTCATTTTTGTATATTTCACTGACCCACATGTATTATTTTGTAGCTAACAAATCTAATAGTGCTTAGCATCTAATGATTTAACAAACCGAAAGCTCTGATCTTTCCTTATAGGATCTTAAAGAAGCTCTACGCTTAGTCAGGCTATGGAAAAGTGGTAGATACTGCACCAGCCTTTGCCTCCACAGCCATAGATGATTGTCTCATAGAACAACTAGTTCACACAGGTATTATCTATAGCTAATAAATCTAATAATGCTTAGCATCTACTGTTTCAACAAACCAAATGCTCCGATCTTTCCTTGTAGGCTTTTAAGGAAGCTCTTGACTTAATCAGGCTATGGATAGGTGGCAAAGGTTATGGACAAGTGGCAGGCCCTGCAACTGCCTTTGCGATGAAGGTATTTATCCTTAAGGCGTCAAAAGCGGTGTGCCTTAAGCCTCTTCAAAAAACTACAAAAGCAGGCACCTAAGTCCTCATGCGTCCGACACTCTAAGGGCGCTTTATTAAACTATGCAACCAAGAACAAAAAAGGAAACAGTTTCTCAATCATAGTTATTGCAAAAGAATAGCATAAATACATGCAGCGATATAATACAAATCATGGTTTGACCTAAAAGCACGCACCAAATCATATGTCTGAATTGCCAAAGCAACCTTCTCATCAGCAATCCTAATGCCATGCTTTTGTTCGTCAAGTGCTTCGTCAGAAAATCTAACGGTTTCAGCCCTCACGCCTCGTTTTATATCCTCTACTTCTTGTTCACAACGCTGTTCATTTTGCCTCACAATTTCTGTTAATATAAAGGTTGGAAACAAATTTATTTTTCTTTCAAGGAAAAAGGAGTCCATTTCATTGCTCTAATTGAATTTTGAATTATATATCTTTGAGTGGTTCTAATAGTCAACAAAGTAGAATCATAAATTTCAAATGAATCCCGAACAATTAATATTTAAGTTTAAAAAAATACCTTGTAAGCTTCTGTCGAGATCACGCATTAATGCATACTTTTTCTGGACGATATGGGGCAGTGCTTCCAAATCTGTGAAATTTTGATGAAAACACGATTTCGAAATGAAATTAATTAGCGTTTCATCATACAGAAGAGAATCTAGCATTAGGGTTTATGTTTTCGGAATTCAAACAATACGAAGCCAAAGAAATTGATTTTAGAAAGAAAACTACGAGAAAATACCAGCTTGGAATTCATCGATGAAAGACATATTAGGGATTTAGGGTTCTCTTTTTGCGATTGAATTTGGATGGGTGGATTTCAGTGATAACTTCCCGCCACTGGCGTAACGGACTTGAAGCCCTATATATATATATATATATATTTGGACTGACTTTAAGCCCTAAAATGGTGAAATTGGATTACTTTATCACTCAGTGAATGACATATTTAACCTTTCATTCTTCGTACAACTACGAGTGCGTACCAGTTGAGTCGAATGGCTTGCCCAATTAATCACCAAATTTCTCTGTTTATATATAGAGAGAGAGAAAAAGAATTTTTTCTTAACAAATCTAAAACTTATGGCTTAAAATAATACGAGAAAATACAGATAAACAACTTTATAACCAAACAAATGTAAAAATATAAAAGTTTACAATTACGAGTGTACACTAATCAGATTTTATAGTGATTTTCGAAACTAAAAATATAGGTGTACTAGTACCATCTTCATAAACATTCTATTAGAACCGGTCTTCTCTAAAAGATTTCGACAGCCAAGAGAATGAATTTGTAGGAGTTGTGTATCTTATCATGTCATTGTTTCACCGATCACATTCGTCTCAATTGAATTCTTCAATAATTTTATTCTTCTCGAACATGATTGTTGATAAGAAACTATAAAATCAAATCGTTAGTATTGACTGGATTATAATAAACAAAAATAAAATAGAGATAAAGAAATCGTGTCGTGGTATAAACCACTACTTTAAAAATAATTTTACCTCGATGTATATAATCGTTGTAGTAAGTTATTGTCCACCAAGATTAACTCATAGCTTCGAATAATCGTTCATTTGGAAATTAAAGTTGGTAATAATAAGAGAACTTTGAAAGCAGAGAATTTAGTAGAAAGCAAATATTGTAGTTGCTTTATATAATTAGAAATGCTTAAATGATCAGCAATTTATAGGCCTATCTTAGGGTTAAAATGTCCATATAAATCCATCATAAAAATTATGGTTTTCAGAACCGGACCGGTCAACGAACCGATCGTGTTATCGGTTCACTGGTTCAATCGGTCAGACCGGTCGAAAGAATCGAACGACGTCATAATTAATTAATTAATTAAAAAATTAAATAAAAATACCAAAAATGTTTAATAAAAAATAGTTTTTTATATCACAAGTCATATTCAAAGCAACTCATAACATATATAAGTTAAAAATCATAAAATCAAGTGAAACAAAATGATTCAAATCAACTACAACATAATATTTAAAGGTAAACATATTAAATAATAAATATAATTATATAACTATAATTAAAAAATAAATTTGGGGTTAAAAAATAATAACAAACGATGTCGTTTGGTTTAATTCTTTTTTTTAAAAATTCCACATGGCTAAGAAACATAGAAGAGCATCACAAAAGTCTAAAGAGTAAAAATATAAAAACAAAACAATTCTACATGGCTAAGAAACATAGAAGAGCATCTCAACTGACTTCTATAAATAATAGAGGTAATTTGACATTCAAAATCATGGAGCCTTTTGGTGAGCACAGAGCGAACTATTCTTTTGCTTCAATCGAGCTCGAATTTCAGGCTTCAATCGAGTTTCTAAATTTTGTTTAAGTTCAAGCCTTTTTGAGTTCAAGTTTCAATATTATATTTCGAGTTCAAGTTGAACTTGATAATTTTTAGCTCGTGAGTTTTTGAGTCGAGCTCAGCAATACTTGAGTTCAACTTAACTCGTTTAACAAACGACGTCGTTTGATTTAATTTTTTTAGAAAAAAACAGAATACCGGTTTTCAACCGGTTCACGGTCCGGTCCGGTTCGAACGGTTCACAACTGGTTCAGCGGTTCCTTCCGGTTCACTAGTAGCGGTTTAACCAGTGTAGAATAAACCGGACCAGGCAGCGGTTCCCGGTTGAACTGGCGAGTCCAGTCCGGTTTTCAAAACACTGATAAAAACACGAATTTAATTCTCAAAAATAATGGTTGGAATATTATATTTCGAGTTCGAGTTGAACTTGATAATTTTTAGCTCGTAAGTTTTTGAGTCGAGCTCAGCAATACTTGAGATCGACTTGACTTGTTTAACAAACGACGTCGTTTGATTTAATTTTTTTTTAGAAAAAAACAGAATATCGGTTTTCAACCGGTTCACGGTCCGGTCCGATTCGAACGGTTCACAACTGGTTCAGCGGTTCCTTTCGGTTCACTAGTAGCGGTTGAACCGGCCGATCCAGTCCGATTTTCAAAACACTGATAAAAACACGAATTTAATTCTCAAAAATAATGGTTGGATAAATACTGTAATGAACTTGTTGTAGTTGGATGAATATGACCTTAGAATTATTTAGATTTGTTCAAAATTATAACTGTTATGACATCTATTTATCAACAAGTCAAACGGCTAAGTTAAATCCCTTCAAATCAGCTATTTAAAGATGATAACCAATAACCAGTTGGTCTAGTAGGACAAGGTACTAGGTCACTTAAGCAATGTCAGAGGTTTGAATCCTGACGTTTGCAAATGGAGTAAATTGGGTTGAGAGGGTTGCCCCTGCATCTGCAGTACCCGATCTGAATTAGTCGGTCAACAAGTCGGATACAAGTGATTAATTAAAAAAAATCAGAAATTATGCACCAAACACCTTCGTATTTAGTATTAAATAACTGTAAAATAATCTTCAAAAGATCATCCTCAATCGATATCCAATGCACATCTCATCTTACCTTCTTAAATTTATATTTTACAATTAATACATTCAACTTTTAATTTTAAACTATTAAAAAAACTTTTAATTTCAAATTTATTTATTTAAGAATGATCAAATTATAGTATTGGTCCTTCTACTATACTTAAATTTGACTTTTAGTTTTTATACTTGAATTTGACTTAATTTACTCCTTTTACTTTTATATTTTCCTTAGTTAATAGTTAACACCAATAACAATTCAGATTAAAATGTTGATGTAGGTTTCTTTCATATAAGCAACCAACTCGAAAAATATATATCTATACCATCATATGAGTTGGAAGAGGTGTTTTAACCCATATATATATATATATATATATATATATATATATATATATATATATATCAGCATTTTAACTAAAATAGTCAATAATATAATTATTTGGACTAACTAATGTCATTAATATAATGTAGAGTAGAGAATTAAATTATATAAAATAAAAGTGTATAGATTATATATAAATTTAAGAATAGTAGAAAGACGAAAATATGAATTTTACCTTAAAGAATTGAATCACATAACCTATGCTAGTTGGAATTTGATATTTGAAATATTAACGACACAAGTGAATATGTTTCACAGTGGAAAGAAAAAGTGTCATGGGAATCCTTAAGAAAACGATTATAACTAGATTCATAGTGAAATCTGAGTTTGAAACTCTAGATAAGTCTGAAGAATAAGCTGATTTGCTTTGTAATTTCTTGGAGGATATTCTTAAATGGCTTATACATGTGCTCACATTATGTTTATACTGTGATTAGCAAGTATAATGGTAAGTCGAGACATATGCGTCTTCGACATAATATCATAAACAACTGATCTCAAATTGAGTTATCTATGTTGATTTTGTAAGATCAAAGAATAACATTATGGATCCGCTAACCGAAGGGTTAAATCAAGATCAAGTTGAGAAAACATTAAAATGAATGTGACTAGAGCACATGAAATTTAAAGGTGTTACGTGAAGGAAAACCCAATATTGCTGACTGGAGAGCCCAAGATCTAGGTTCAAAGGGACAATCTAATTGCATAACTCATGTATGATCACTGTGGGGGTTTATTATCCCAAGTTCATTCCTATGATGTAAACAGTGATCAAAGTAGTATAGGCTAAGCAAAAAGCTTTTAATGACCATTGTGTGCTTTGGTGAGCCGAGCAACATAAGTCACCTATGTGAGAGTGAAGTAGAGTCGCTTCAAGGAGACTATTGGGCATAGTTCTTTTAAACTCTTACAAAACCAAGAAGATGTACATGGTTTTAAGGACATGCCCATGAAAACTAAATTCTTGTAAAAGGGATAGTTGTGTGAAGTATGTAATCGTTTACACAAACGACATAACAGTTCAAGGACATCGCATCTATTGTTTAACCAGTAACGTAAACATACTGTCACAAGGGAAGGTTCAAAGAAGGACACCTACCTATCCTACGCAACTATCAATCGTAGAGGTTATCACCACATCGTGCTAATTTTTTTTATTAAATCATCAATTTCATTCATGTGGGTGGATTGTTGAAAAAATGGTGAATTTAATTCATGGATTTAATATTTATATTAAATTCATAGTACTTTTGACTATTGCAAATTAAAAGATAATTTTTTAATTTGAATATTAGTAGGATAATTATTCTTTTAATAAGTCAATTTAAAAAGGTATTTGTTATCTTTTTAATTTTGAATATTAAAAGATAATTATATACTTTTGTATATTTCAAATTAAAATAATATATATTTTAGTTGAAATAGTAAAAGGAGTTTACCTTTTAATCATTGTAAATTAAATATATTATTTAATTTGAATATTAGTATGATAATTACTCTTTGAATGCGTCAACTTAAAAAGGTATTTGTTACCTTTTTTTTAACTTTGAATATTAAAGATAATTATACACTTTTGTTTATTTCAAATTAAAATAATACATATTTAAGTTTGAATAGTAAAATGAGTTTTATCTTTTGAATATTTCAAATTAAAAGATATTGTTGTGTGTTTAATTTTGAATATTAAAAGATATTTGGTTGAATTAAATCTCTCTTGAAAATCCCCTATAAATGGTGAGTAAACTTGTTCGGTTTTTCACATCTTACCATATCTCACAACTCAGTTTTCAAGAACTTATCTTATCTTGAAAAAAAGTTCGCTTCCTTAGTTTTTCCGGTGATAGTCGAAGGCAAAGATTATCCGTGATCTCTACAATGTGCTACTGTAGCTGATCATTAGTTGTTGTATCCTGGGAGACAGACGACCAACGAACTCGAGCACCAAAGGAGTGGCTGAAAATATGTCTTAAGGAAACTGTGTAGCGACATGTCTCAACTGATTCCGATCGATAGATCA